GGGGGCGGGGGTGCAGATAAAAAATGGAATGGCCCCTTGGATATCCTCATTTGAGATGGATTCTTAGTTTTCAGATAAATTAGCTTGGGAAAATCAAAAAAGAAGGTTATTTCTTTTTGACAGAAGTTTCTAAATTATATTTTGTGTACAAATATCAGATATGTGGACCACAGTTATGCCATGCAGCCACCCCCTTATGTAATTTTCCCCACATATAAGGATGACAGCTTCAATGCTATCTCACCACCTCCACTGTATGAAGTGGAAGTTGTTCTGAGAACAACTACTGAGGATGATGAAAGTGTTGTTGGTAATGAGAATGGTGACGACAGCAATGATGATGATGAGGAGGAAGATGATGATGATGATGAAGATCTGGATCCCCATTGGTTACCTGGTGAAGAAAAATTTACTGATGACGACAATTTATTGCCTGAAGATAAAAATGATGGGGACCGTACATCCAGCATGCCCGACTGTGAAAAGAAATACCTGGTATTTGATTCACGTCTGAATAAGTTGCTAAAAAGGTGTCCAGACTGTGGAGATGTCATAATACAACATGAGAGGAAAACAAATGGTAGCATGCCATCAATTGAGTTAACCTGCCACAGTGGCCACACCACTTATTGGGCTTCACAGCCAATGGTGAAAAAGAAACCCTTAGGTAACCCGTTGATGGCAGCATCCATTCTGTCCACTGGGAACACATTTGCTGCTATCAGTCGCTTTGACTCATCTTTCAATCTTCAGTTTTTTAGCGAAAGAGTTAATTACAACACACAACAAAAGTATTTGATTCCTATTGTTAATGAGACATGGGAGGCTGAAAGTAGATGCCAAATTGAAAAGCCTAAAGGGAAGGCAGTTGTCAACCTTGATGGTGATGGCTGTTGTGACAGTCCAGGACACTGCACCAAATATAGCACCTACATGGTAATTGATGATGACACTGGGGATGTAGTAGCATTTAATGTTGTTCAGGTTTCAGAGGTCACTCCTCTAATGCTATGGAAAAAGAAAGCTTTTCCAGGTGCATAGAAATGCTGGAAAGTAAAGATGTCACCATAAGTAGGATTGCAATAGACCATCATGTGCCCATCAGCAGTTCCATGAACAAAGACCACCCAACTATTAATCACCAGTATGATGTTTGGCACCTCTCTAAGTAGGTGGTCTGGTGCAACCTGCAATGGTAGTGTGGATCATTTGCGTGAAAAATGGAAATTTGTGTTGAATCACACTACCAACAAACATAAGTGGTCAGGGAACACCCACTTTCATGAGTGCAGTCACAGGCACATTTCATCCTCTGAAGCTAAGAGAATCTGCTGGCTCAAACTAGGTACCCCGACTCAGTTAGCTTTGGAGGAAGTGGTCCTGAACACTACGCTTTTAAAAGATCTGGCTAAGCTTACTGACTTCTGC